ACAGGCACGTGCAATGTCCGGTTTATTTTTATGATCCGGGGCTCGGCTTGCTCCACCCACGACGTATGACGTATATGGCAAAATTTACAAGCCCGAATCTGGCCGGTAATGTGAGGGCGCTTACACTGATGGCAAGTCTGTTGGTATTTCGCGGTCACACGACTTTCGCGTTCACCCCTGGTTTACGCAATTTATATTTATTTTTCAAGATATTTCATCGAAATCGCAACAGACTGCAAGCAAATCTAATTTACCCCCTAAACCTGATTCGATTTACATTCAATGGTCAGTAAAAACACCCGGAAAAGCAATTTTCATTTGATGGCCAAAAACGTGACTGCGTTTCAAAAAACAACAACTATTAAATATTCCCAGTCCTAAAAGCTCTGACTACGTCTAACACGTTTTACAACAATTGGTGTATTTATATTGATGCGTTGCGAGCGTATTTTTCAAGATTAATAAGCCATGTGACGTACATTTAATTACAGTGGGGCCAAGTGGACCGTGCGGAGTTGGACTGTTCATGTGTCCATTGGAGGGAAGATGTTTGTCAGAGTCACTAAAATGCAACGATGTGCCTGACTGTGCTGATGGATTCGATGAACAGGATTGCCGTAAGTTATGACACAGTATTTCATAAGGTTTGATTGCGGTTTGGCAAACTTCGGTACAGTAAACCTCAGTACAATACACCACTGTAAAGACGTTAGATTATTAATCATACATTCACTCCTTTTCAGCATGCTATGGATTCAGATGTATCGGTATGGACGGGGAAGAAAAGTGTTTCCTAACTGGCTGGGTATGTGATGGCAATACTGATTGCCTTGATGGTAGTGATGAAGCCGATTGTAATGAAGGTAACATATTATCGAATAACATAAGCAATTTATCCGAAAATTTTAGGTTATAGATTATCACATTATACTTGTACTTGCTATTACAACAAATATAGAAATTATAGTTTACTTTTACGCACTCCATCACGAAATAGTAGATCAAGAACAACGATTTCCCTTTTGTTTCCCCACTGACAGTTGATTGTAACCAGGAATTCAACGAAGACCACGGAATCATATTCTCCCCAAATTATGGTCCTGGACTGCTATATCCTTTCAATCGGGACTGCACCATTACAGTGAACACGACGGGCGGAAGGATTGAATTCACTTTCTTAGAGATGAATTTAGAAGACAACGGTTGTGCTTACGATTACATACAGGCAAGAAATGCCCACTTCATGCGATTATCACTCTGTCGTGCATGCAGTCTTCTGCTGTAGTCACATGGTTACGATTAATTGTTCAATCTACCAATAATATTTAAAAGCTTATTATTTAGGTTTTTTTACTGCACACAATGGTAGTCTTTGCGACTAGTGCGTCTGTATATTTGTGTGATTGTGCTTGAACCAAATATCAAATTAATGCCACTTAATACATAAATGGTCTGGGAAAATGCGCAGACCTAATTAGTTTTTGGTTGAGATCTGTGCATATTAATCAATTGATTTGCTTAATATTTAGCCAATAATGTTAAGCCTTTCCACTTTTATCAAGAATCAATTATCAGATTTGAATGAAATGTGGTACATATATGCTCTGGTATGTTGCGCAGACCTGATCAGTTTCTGGTTCATTATGTGTATATTACCTAATTTGCATGATAAGTAGCCAATTGTAAGTATTTCTACCTGTTTTTCAAGTACAATTTAACAGATTACAATGAAATATAGATGTCTGGGATAATACGCAAATTTGGGAAGTTTTTGGTTCAACACCATGCATCTTAATTACCCAATTTACTTATTAATTAGCCAATTTTAAGTCTTCTCACTTTTTTCTCTTGAACTACATTTATGGTCTGGGAAAATGCGCAGACCTGATTAGTTTCTGGTTGCAATCTTTAGCTTTTCCACCAATATCTTGACCACTTGTGAGATTTCAATGAAACTAGGTAAACAAGTGCTCTGGGATAGCCCATATGTACGTTTATTTTAGAGTTGAATTGTGTGCTTACTAATCACCTAATTTCTATGAATGTAGGTGGTACTTGTGGTGGTGCAATTTATAGATGTTCCACAGATAACTTGAGTACCACACAAACTTCAATAGCACGTGGTATATAGGTGTTTTTGGTTAACTTATAAATCTGATTACTTCAGGGTTGAAATCCATGCATAATAATTACTTATTTTGTATGTGACCTAATCATGCATATGCATAACTGTGTTTTTATCTCGGGCTCTATTGCTGCCAGGGATATGCATTTAGTGTTATATTTAATGCATCAGACAATAGTTATGAAGAACATATCACATTATCATATATGGTCATGTTACCTCATCAATATGCTTAACTTCAATGTATTAACCACTGCTGTAATGAAAGCATCTGAATTTTAATTGCGCTGTTAGACAAAATATCTGCCCAAAATATAAAGTCATATGGTCATAATTTCATTCAATATTATAATAGCCGCTGACCACCCTGGTCAGTGCTTGCAGTTATATTTTTTTTGTTATATTTGCCGTAACTGTAAACGTTAAAAGCAAAATAAGACATATTTCAATGATTTCGCACGTGATTCTGATATAATAAATACAATTTCCCCTATTTGTACTTTGCCTAGCACACTGGAGTTCTTTCTATGCTTTCTTTGATTTCCTTAATTTGTCTAATCGTAGGAGAGTTGAATACATTACATAATATCATGCTAGTGACACTAGATACATAACATTCATGTATTATAACGCACGTGTCTTACATTTACATTTAGTTTGAAGACGTAGTTTCGAACAAAATATCTGAAAAGTTTTGTGGAACTAGTTTGCCAAATCCTTGGACCTCTGATACAGGTTTGGTTTTTATTAGATTTGTGAGCGACTCGTCTGTCAACGGTTATGGGTATAAGATTACATTCCAACCCGGTACGGAATCTGATGTTCAACCTACACCGCCGCAAGGTTAGGATTACATTTTATCAATATCGAGCCAATGTCATCACGTGTTGACAAACTAAGGTCTCCAGTCTACATTCCATTGTTGATAATTCGATTTCTGTCTGTATAATGTAATGCAAAAACATTAAGCTACCCCGTTATTATAATTATAATAACCATCAACCAATTGCAAGGACCAGAACCAGATTTAAAGCTTAGCTACTATACTTGGATATACACAAATATAATTATTATACAGTTTGTAATTGTTTCGGTTTTTTTTTACACAGACAACTGTAACGAAGTATTCTCCTCTCAGCATGGAGTAATACATTCGCCAAATCACGGCAACGTGTATCCAGACAACTTGCATTGCACTATTACTATTGGCACAGGAAACGTTATGAGCGGGTCACTAATGCTCATTTTCCTTGAATTCAATCTACAAAACGGCTCTCCCGAATGTAATAACGATTATGTTCAGGTAAGAATTGCCGTAAACTGTTGTCATCTTTTTATTGGTGAGATCCTTCTAGATTATTAATTGTCTTGCATTGCAGGTTATAACAGAATTATGTAGTTAATCACAAAAATATTATTACAAAAAATGTTAATACTGTCATAAAAAAATCGACAAATGTTTATGATTTAGAGCTTGTTTACCCTTATTGTGATCAAGACGATAACTGAAACTAAAACCCACATGTTGATCTCACTCCCAGAAAATATTGAGAATCACTTCTAACTGAAACTGAAATAGACATGGATTTCACTCCTAAATGAAAGTGAAATAGACATATGGATTTCACTCCTAAATGAAAGTGAAACAGACATATGGATTTCACTCCTAAATGAAAGTGAAATAGACATATGGATTTCACTCCCAAATGAAAGTGAAATAGACATAGTGATCTCACTTCTAACCGAAAGTGAAATAGACATATTGATCTCACTCTTAACTGAAAGTGAAGTAGACATATTGATTTCACTCCTAACTTAAAGGGAAATACATATACTGATCTAACTCCTAAATAAGAGTAAAATACACATATTGATCAAACTCCTAAATGAAAATGAAATAGATATATTGATCTAACTCTTAAATGAAAGTGAAATGGACATATTGATCTCACTTCTAACTGAAAGTGAAATAGACATATTGATCTCACTCCTAACTGAAAGTGAAATAGACATATTGATCTCACTTCTAAATGAAACTGAAATGGATATATTGATCTAACTCTTAAATAAAAGTGAAATGGACATATTGATCTCACTTCTAACTGAAAGTGAAATAGACATATTGATCTCACTTCTAACTGAAAGTGAAATAGACATATTGATCTCACTTCTAAATAAAACTGAAATAGACATAGTGATCTAACTCTTAAATGAAAGTGAAATAGACATATTGATCTAATTCCTAAATGAAAGTGAAATGGACATATTGATCTCACTTCTAACTGAAAGTGAAATAGACATATTGATCTAACTCTTAAATGAAAGTGAAATGAACATATTGATCTAACTCTTAAATGAAAATGAAATAAACATATTGATCTAACTCTTAAATGAAAGTGAAATGGGTATATTGATCTCACTTCTAACTGAAAGTGAAATAAACATATTGATCTCACTCCTAACTGAAAGTGAAATAGACATATTGGTCTCACTCTTAACTGAAAGTGAAATAGACATATTGATCTAACTCTAAATTCACGTATATTGATCAATCTGCCTGTGGCGAGGCGATTGACGTGACTGAAAGTTATAATCCTGTGTTTCAAATTATATGCATGTACAATTTATAATTGTGGTTGTCCTTGCCGATAGACAGATTCGTCAATCGTAACTAAGTAGATTCTTTAGAATCGGCTACGCAACTATATATGTTGTTTGTGATATCCGATATTTGTCATGTGTATTACTATCTAATCACTATCAGAAGTTGTTCTTTACATGTAATTTTGGCTATGTAAGTGTGGTGAGGTAGGTCGCGTGATTCCCTATGTTTGCAATTGCCATGATTATGTGGTCGAATTGTGTGTTGTAATACGTTTTATGCAATATTTATTGATTTCACTCTATTGCCTTTAAGGTGAGAATAACCAACATATTGGTTATATCGTAGGTATATTAAGAGCATACCAAAACTTTGAACTCACCTTGCCACTGCAAACACGCTCTCAACTCACTACCTCACTGTAAACTATGCATACATAGATAAAATAGTGCCAGATATAATGTAATGTAGACCTGGTCTATCTTAGTCATTAAAGTGGCGATTTTGACATTTGTTACGATAATATGTCGAATATATTCAACTGCACCTCATCATCAACAATTTATTAGATTCTCACCAACTGTTATGCAGGTTTAGATGTCCAGGTATCATATGCGATATTCATAAAAATCTTACACTTTTCTTTAGTTTGTGGATGGTGTTTCAAATCAGACGTCTAGCAGATTTTGTGGAACTGAACTGCCACCACCTTGGGTTTCGGACACAGGATTGGTTTATGTTCATTTCGTAAGCGACTCTTCCGTGGGAGGTTATGGCTATATATTGCAGTTTGATTCGTATTATATGGAAGCGCGGTCCTTGTTAGGAGAACAGCGTTCACCAACAGGTTAGTCTAGTCTAGTCTAGTCTAGTTCATCTTACATATGCGGTGTATGTATGATATATATATAACGTGGTATACTGAATTGATTGTAATTTGTGGCATTACGAAGGTATACAAGTGATGACAATAAATATATTGAACTTTAACTGATTATATATATTTTTTTAAATGATAACAATGGATTGGATCTAATAACAACGTGCTTTATAATTGTAGATTGCAATGAGATTTTATTTGAGCAATCTGGATTATTATCAACACCCAACTATCCGGGAAATTATGATAACAATTTAAGATGTACTATCACGATACATGTTGGTAGCGGACGTATTTACCTTGAATTTACGGCTTTTGAGTTCGAATTTGTCGATGAGTGCAGATATGATAACGTTCAGGTAAAGTTATTGTTTGTATATACTTAACTACACAGGTTGTTAATTGAATTGATTGAATTGAATCTTGGTTATTTGCATAGATATATAGTCAATCACAATTCAATATTCAACAGGTTTGTTGGCACTTGAATTAAACGTGTTGCTTAGCTAGAGACTGTCATTATCATGGAGCGTTATCCCGTGTTGAACGTAATAATCAAACAATTATTTTAAAATTTAGAAATTAGGCGAAAATATCCTTTTATTTGATTGATAGCATGGTTCATAAAGCTGTACATAAATAGTGAATGAACAGCGTTTTACATAACACTTAAAATCTGGAACTATGACAACCATTTCAATTATAATCATCGGTGGAATTCGTTTGCAGTGATCAAAATGGTTACGCAAATTATCCATTATCTGAAGTCTCGTGTTTTACAGTTGGTCGGAATAATAACATTTAAATAGTTCCTCAAATTTGTGTTTATTTCCTGTGAAATGTTCGTAGTTTGTTTTTAGTGATCGAAATTTTGAATAAGCAGGTTCTTTGTCAAACATTTAATCCTAGTAAAGTATTTCTCACTTCTGGTGTCATTGTCCTAACGTTTTGAAATAAACTAGGGCGCTTTCTTGTTCATAACGACATCACCAAATATTTAGTGCAACATTTAGAACAAACCATAACAACACAGAAAATACAAGGACGAAGATAATGAATTTCAATCGCATACGAGTTCCCTGACATGTTTTATGTTTAACTCGTTTTTGAGCATGTTTCAGAGGAAGAGAGAAAACGTTTTCGAAATGAAGAGGAAATGTTTTTGCTTTAGTGCCCACAAACATGCATTGATACATTATGCTAGTCTTGTTTGAAAAGAAAAATATATCACTGGAGAAATTACTTACGATGGCTGGTCATACATACACAACACAAAGTACATTGACCTGTAATCGCTTATTTATGAACTCAGATTATAGACAATATCTCTCGGAGAACCACGCCTTTATTATGCGGAGTATTACCACTTGCCAATTGGACATCGGACAGCCAAGATGTATCTATTGTTATAACCACTGATTCAGAACAAAGTAGGACTGGTTTCGCTGCAGTGTATGAAACATTGCCACCTCTTAATGATACCATGCGTAAGTACCTTGGAGATGATGTTGTCTTTATATTTTCCGGATTTAGAAATCGAACTAAATTGATTGTTTTTATTGTACGATTATGAATTGCAACGAAAAAATAATTTCTTATACGGAGAAAATGTACTCCTAAATCTTATCACTTAAGTTTTCTGCATTTTAAGTAATAAAACCAAAGCGATTTTATGTCCTGGGCCAGTCAAACTATGATTAAAAAAAATCGAGTATTTGCGAGTGGAATTTGAGGAAATTGAGGAGGTCAATTAAAAGCTTATTGATAGTAAGGTCAACTAAATATTATACGTTGTTAATAATTAGTAATTGGACGAGTATAAAAATATATATTATTGCTATCACCGCATGTATGAGGACAAATAATCATACACCAAATAAAAACGAGAGAAATTTTAAATACGGCTTTGTAACCCTACATTGTGTACAGCTGTCCGTCATTTTATGTATATACTGTAGAATACTTTATTTATTTTACTTTATTTTCGCTGAAGGGATGATTCCGTGAAAATAAAATCCAACGAATATACTTTTTTCCCTATATCTCACATTCAACTCGTCAAAAATCAGTGAAAATAAATACCATACAAAACACCCAAAATGCTTTTTCACAGTATACAATGTATGACTATTTTCCATTCATACATGGTTCTGGCATATACTACTTCTTTTGATATTTGTCTGTCCGGAGAATAACCATGTTCTGCGCCAATTTCACAATAAATATACAGAAAATTCATAGCGTAACAATCAGCAGATTCACACAGTGTTGAGATGTGGTTAAAACAAGAATTTAATTTCTTCACAACTTTCAGAATACGAATTAATTTAGTTCAGCCAAACATAATTTTAATTAAGTTTATCTTGTATTAATATGCATTTCGAAACAAAAGCAAACATGCTCTAATGACGTAACTGTCTTGTTAATTAATTCAAAAGCTTGCTATGGTTATTCATGTGATGGTGGAATCAGATGTTTGCCGTCATCTGTTGTATGCAATATGAATAAAGACTGTGAAGATCATTCAGATGAGGCAGGTTGTACGTTAAGTAAGTGTCTAGATTATCAGAAAAAAAGTGGCTTTCAAAATATGATGTTTAGCTGGTTAATATTTATTTTAGCTTGATTGTACTGACGAGGCGTGTTTATGATTACGCGTGAAGATTTAAAAGAAAGAAAATTCATTCACAAAATATCCAAATAAAAATTATGTAAATTTGTAACACTCTACAGTCCCGTCATTGATTATTAATATTATTTGCTATTTAATGCAATGCACTAGAAATCGTCTAGTATATAATCAACACGTCAACAACACTTTGCCAAAATCACGCAAAGCAAAATGGGAATCAACACTTTAATGAAGCAAATACTCTTATGAAGTTATCAAATAGAATATGTAAACAAACGAACATGTCAATATTCCTTTAATATATATATTGGCTAGTCTAAGAGCTCTTCTATATAATTCCTGTGAGATGTATGTTTTAAAATTATTATAATGTACATATTGATCACGCAACTTTATTTTCTTAGATTTTTGTGACGTAACCCTGACCCATGACACTGGTTTTGTGACGTCACCAAACTACCCTGACAATTATCCAGCGTCGGTTGATGACTGCGTCACCTCTATCGATATTGGTTATGGTAGAGTTGAACTCGTTTTTCAGACATTTGACCTTGAGAACTCAGAGAATTGCGTGGCTGACTACTTAGCGGTGAGTCGTATAATCAATTGTGAATCGGTTTTGCCTTGCGCAAATATATGTATTATATGTCAGTACTACGACTGATGGATGGACGAGCCAGTAATATCACTATTAATAACACAAAAGTTTACAAACACAACTAGAAATTGTTTTTAAATTGTATGTAGCCAAACGACGTTGATTTACTTTTTGCAGATTACAGATGGGATTTCCAGTCAAACTCTATGTGGCAATTACTCATTGCCGGATATATGGCTATCTGATTCACATAACGTGTATATAAGATTCCGCAGTGATGACCAGATTGGTGGAAATGGATTCAACTTGACATACAGGCGAATCGATTATGGTGTGTACACGGTGGTTGTGGTTATACGATTGGCCGGGTGAATATTTGATCGATTTAGCATGCGCAATTCAGTACTTGTAGTATATGCAATTTAAGTCATACAGACATATTCTTTGGTAATGATATACTCATCGACAATCAATGATTCAATGAACTTGAATAACTAGTATTCGTGAATTCATTATAACATGCTCACACCTGAAAAGATTTGAGCATCCCTGTACTATATTAAGAATACAGAATATTCAATAATTGCTTCTTATATTTTACTTACCTCTTATCTCATCAGACGAGCCGTGTTTTCTGTGTGACAACAATACTCAGTGCATTCCACTGACGTTACAATGCAACGCCTTTTCTGATTGCGTAGACATGACGGATGAAGAAAACTGTCCCACTAGCCCGACGCCATTTAGACTGACATCGCCGCAGACAACGCATTTCTACGTTACGCCTACTTCTATGCCAAGTAATCAAACAACAATTTCTACAAGTAAGACTAGGTTTTTTGTGTGTTTTTTCACTGATCACAGTGTGTATTCTTGAATGGTGAATGAGAGAGGCAAATTCATTGTTTTAATCATAATGAGATAAGAAGATTATCAAATTCGAAATCTGGCATTGTAAGATAATTTATGATAAATTATTTATCTATTGCTTTGCACTGATTGTATACTAGGCCTTGGAAATGGCCGCCTAGAAATGACCGTCAAGAAATGGCCGCCTAGATCTCGTTGAGAGCGAGACTTGCTTTTGTTCCATTGTCGCTCGTCCTCGCATCCGCTGTGTTCATGACTTATGTAACCATTTTTGGAATGGTGGCCACGATAACGGGAACACAAAACAGACCACGTGACTGTCCCGCTCTCAACGAAGTCTCAGCGGCCATTTGCCTCTAAGATCATCTGATTGATTTTTACTATTTTATGTCCGAGTATTATACCCTGTTCTCAGGTATGCCACAGAGCCGGCTTGACTAACCTGGTAAACAATCGTCATCAGTGGTTTTAATTGGTTCTGTGTTCATAAGTGTATAAAGACTAAACTGAGCCGGCGCTGTTATCAGCAGCCATGTTTTTAAAAAAAAAATACTTGCAATGAATGAAACTCCAGAGAGAGCCTGACACTGATGACGTACTTTCAAGGCGGCGTCATCTTCAAACGTGCTCAAAACCGTTTCTGTAAGTACGGGGTGCCGGTCGTGACTTAAACTAAGTCGGCGTGGCGTTGTGTACATAATATTCTGTTACTTTATGAACTGTCTACATATTATGTTTATATTATGATGTATTAGTAAGGTTTCTCTATATTTGTGGACAGTCTAGCAAAACCTAGTTCGTGGTACTCCCTAACTCAATGATAAACTATGCACATTATAAACGTATTAATACTCATAAATCTCGGATAAAAAAATTTTTCATACTTTTAAATTATCATTTCAGATTACAGCAGTGAATGTAAATCCGGCGAATATCGCTGCGACAATGGACAATGTATTCATCGGTATTCCAGGTGTAATCTACTAGTGGAGTGTGACGACAGAAGTGACGAGACGTCATCATGCCGATTTAATAGTGTGTTCCAAAAAAAACAATGTATCTTCTAAACATATATCCGACTATGATAATGATCACCTGATATTTCTTCGATTAAATTATGAACTTCTATTTAAGTACCGCATATGAACATACGCACAAACGTCTGTTTTATTGTTTTTATTATTTATATAGTGTGTCAAATAATGTCAAATTGGCTCTCGTTTCAGCATACAATACAACACACAGTGTGTTTGATGGCGCATGGTACAGTAACTTCCTTGATGTAACAGATGAACACCATATTTATCAGACATTTCGTGACGAATACTACCGTGATAACGGTTTTGATAGGGTCAAAGGTGAAGATCCACCTGACTGGTTAGGTTTCATGACATTTAGTTCATCACCTGATTTCAGTGACATCCGTTCTGTTTTAAAACTAACGCCTGAGGAAATATACAATTACGGACACCAGTTGAATGATTTTATTTTACAATGTAGTTTTGATCAGCAACCATGCAATATGAGGTGAGTCCATTATAATTGATTTAACATGTCATCCGTTGTGCCTCTAAAACAAACTAAGTTGCTATATATATTGCTGATTGCCCGATTCATTTAATTTTGCAGTGAAGATTTCACAACTTTTCAGGATGACAAATATGGGAACTGTTTTGAGTTTAACCGTGCAGAACCTGGGAGAAAAACACATGATGCGACACGAACTGGGGCGAACTTTGGTAAGCAATAAAGTACAATGCACATACATAAATACAACGTCGTTTAGCAAAATTCATGGAATTGTTTAATTTTAACATTTGTACTTTCCCCCTAAAACAGGCTTTGAGTATATATTTTTGAGAAGATGAACACTGCGCAATATATCTTCAATATTAATATGAACATTCAGAGCTACATTTCAGTCGTCATGGCGTAGTTATGGCAGGAGACCTGTTGTGTGACCTTGTAACGATCACTCGTGACCATTAAATTGCGAATTGCGCGGGAAAGATGTGCGTGAAGTTTGAAGGCGATACATAATTTACAATCTTACATATATATTGCGACTTTTCCTTTAAAATTGCGATCATATGATGAACATGTATGCTAAGTTCATAATCCCTTTTTAGTATTATCGGGAACAGAATATATGACTTATGAATTATGACTTTTAACCTTGACATTGAAATGTAACATGATGAATATGTGTGCCAAGTTTGAAGGCGCTGACTATTTTTCGATTTTACTTATGCAATACTGAACACACATATACACATACTGTAACTTTGACTTTCCAATTTTTCCCTGCGCTGCGCTGTGAGTTGCAGGGGAACACGTGAGACAAGTTTGAAGGCTCTAGCCATTCCCCTAAACTTTTATAATGAACGCACCTTGTGTTCATAAAATGTTACCATGTATTTATATTTTATTTGGTACTGATATAACCACGAACTTGTTTGTCAGGTGTTATCAAACCAACTGATTTATCTCTCATTATCATCAGTCGGATGTGTTCTGCCTAAAGAATAGGAACGCAACTTTTAATTGATTATGCCTTACACACTTATCACACAGGATTGAAATTAACACTGTTTATGGAGCAGTCTGAATACATCAGTATCTATGGTCGTGATGCCGGTGCACGTGTAGTTATTTTACCAAATGATGAACCAGTATTTCCATATGATGAAGGTATTAATATAAAACCAGGCACTGTGACGTCGATTGGAGTCCGTGAGGTATGTTACTGAAACATTGTCTTTATATTGGTGATTCGTGTCACACTATAATGATCATACTTACCTCCCGCAATAATGAATGAAAAACTTTCTTTTTAATGTAAGAAGGGAAGTGTGTAGTGTAGTGTAGTGTAGTGCAGTGTAGTGTAGTGTAGTTAAGTGTAGTGCAGTGCAGTGCAGTGCAGTGCAGTGCAGTGCAGTGCAGTGTAGTGTAGTGTAGTGCAGTGATATACATCACCGTTATCATAGTCTATTAACACTCCATTCAAGTATTAGTTATGGCATTTAACATATGATAGTTTTTGTTTTCAGCATAATATCGAGAGAATGCCATCACCTCACGGCAACTGCAGTGATGGTAATAAGGACACTCTTTATGGAAAGGACAATCGCTATACGGCATTGGTAAATAAGTGGGTTGTTTATCACTGTCATATCTTTATATGTGATTATATTGCCGTATTCTGAAAAACTTTGAATTTGTTTTAAAACAAATATACCAAAATACACCAACTATACAAATATATTGATTGATATATTTATTTATTGATTGATTTATTTTCATAACTGTATCAATATCTGGGATCAATAATTAATACTCGCAATTGATATATAACACACGTACATTTAGAGTAGATAGAATTTGTAGTCACATGAATTGTATTTCCAAACACTTTTGTACTCATATTGTTACAACATTGCACTATTTTCCTCATTACTGACTAGAACCAGTGTGCTTGAATTGTCTCGATATTACTCATTTTGATCTATCAGGGGTTCGACGCCAACACTTAAAGGGCGGCGGTCGTCGCACAGCGCGTGCCCGAAATTTAATTTTAAATAAAGAATGTATTTTACAATGTCGCTATGAGTCCCATATCGAACACGACGCGGCACGACGATCACCGCATTTTAATATTGTCTCTGTTCTTTTTATATTATTAGGCTTGTCAGAAAACGTGTCTTTTGAAAAACATGGGTGATAGATGTGGTTGTACAGATGATTTGTATCCGGTAGACGTCCCAGAATGCTCAGTATTGAATAAAACACAAGGTATTCGCACTTATTAATTGATATGTATGGCCGAGTAAGCCCGTGCATTAATGCGTGGTATGTGGGAACCTTGGACCTGTATCAAATGTGTTTATTTTGTAAGATATCGCCAATTCTCTATTTTTAGTGAATATTTTTGCTAACAATTGCTATTATCAACTTCTTAAACACTGCTATCCCGATTGACACCATACTCAGTATGTAGGTGCCCTTGGTGAACCGCTACCATGTTCATTCCCTTTTAAGCAAATGTTTTATATTTTTTTAAAACATTTAATTCTATTTCCTAAAATCTGTTTGATGCTTGAAATGTAGACATTTCTAAGAGATTTGTAATCTCACTGATAAGACGTTTAATCTTATCGCATAGAACATCAACTTCGTTTTGACAAAGACATTTCATAAAGACGTCAGATCCATTTTGATCACGCCTCTGTGTGCTTACATAATTAATAACTAATTTATATCCTTATTTCAGATTTATGTCGCCAGTTAGTGTATTATTTATATCATAAAAATAAGCTGAGTTGTGATTGTGCGCAGCCTTGTTGGTAAGTGTATACCGTCTTCAATTGTCTTCAGACTGCGATATTGTCTTTGACCAAAACGAGAATGTCTCAAATTGGTTATTTCCTAAAGTATTCTGTTTAACCAATCGATTTATTCTGTTTCATATATTTACGTCGAGTTAGCTTGTCGTGCGGTACTTAATAACGTTCTTATGTAAACATTTGAACGTTTTCTGAATACCTGCGATTTTAAAAACTACTAGTAAATTATTTCTAAATATGTACTTATACCAGGGATAAATGGTATACTGTTCAAATGTCACAATCAGCGTGGCCGTCAGAAGTATATTTGGTAAGTTAATCGATAATTCTATCTATAACTCATTTGTAGTGACAACATGTCATCATATCGTATATGAGTTAATGAAACTTTCATAATCTACCAGTTTTTATTTCTCAATTGTTTGTTATTACACATTGTTTGTTGTTTTAGAGTCATTTGTTGCGTGCAGTGCATTCTACGAACAATAAAACAAGAAATCTTAATGATATGGAACAAGTGAGGTAATATAAAATATCAACTCAATTCTCTTTTAAACATTAAAATCGACTGTCACTTTTTACAAAATACCTTGACGTAATTTCTCCCATATTAGAAAAATGAGCAAGAAATTTAGCCAATCATTTCACCAAAATGATTGTAGGGATAATAATGGCGTTTAAAGTGTTAAACTTTACGATAATTTCATCCACATTTCATAATGATGAAAATCTATATATTCACCATTGCTATACTGTTAATGATAATTGATGAGAAATTGAAATATTGAAAACATGCAGCTGTCTGTAGAGACACGTAATTCCATAATCAACGAGAAACTGTAATAGACTAGATATTGACTAGACAGACTTTCAAATGTAATTTAAAATCCGACCCTGGTTTTTATTACCGACTGAAGCTACACTATGCTAATTTACTTATTTAACCCAGACTTGCACTGACCTATCACGTATTGCCTCTTATGGGGACAAACAATGATGTGTTACGAAATATTCACAGTTATCACCCGTCACAAAGAACAACTGAATATTTTCCTGATCGATGACTTATGTTTCAGTCAGAAGTCTATGATACAAAACAAGCCACACATGTCTAACTATCACTCTTACTAATATTGTTTTTTTCATTTTGTTTTATTAATGTGCAGTCGAAATCTTGCGAGTCTGGAAATCTACTTTGATGAATTAAATTATGAGCTGATTGAGGAACAAGAAGCATATCCAGTATGTTATATTCTCAATATGTGTTTTACATAAGCGAATATTTTATGTTAATGACCATAATGCCATTTAGTAGGTCAAAGTAATTTGAACTATTAGCAACTAATGGAACAGTTATCCTGACACGTGGACGTTAATTCGGTAGAAGTAAAGACTTAATCGTAAATGCCAACCATTATGTTGACAATTGTATGTTCACTAGCTTCAACGGAGAAATATTACGAGTTATCGACTTTTTATCAAGAGTTGGACGTGGTGTGGCTCTATGTGTGAGAAGGAGCCTTACATATATTATTACAAATGCACGTTTGACGTATGACGTAGTACTAGAATGTCCTTATACGCATGACAATTGTAGTGGGTATACTCAAGTAATAATTAGACATCTTGGTTGTAAACAAACTATAATTGTTGTTTTCAGATTGAAAACTTATGCAGTGACATTGGTGGAACACTGGGGTTGTACATCGGCATCTCAGCCATTACTGTATTTGAGTTCATGGAGTTCATTGGCGACGTGTTTGTGCTTTTACTGGCCCGAATGAGGGGCAAGTCTAGGATGTAGCGGTGAGAGGACTGGAGTCATGTGCAACAAACCGCAGCAGCTTATCTGTCCGTTTGCATTCGCTATGCGCCGTTTATACCATCATGTCATTTTTTGTCTCGAAGACAACGAGAGTGGAGCTTGAAATGGAATTGCACAGTTATATGCTACTACGTTAAATATTAACATAGCGATCAAATCAGTGAACGCACATTTCGGGCCTTTAACTATCGCGCCATTCATAAAGTTTTGGCACGAATTCGAGGTCAGAAAAACGAACGCCGGAATTTTAAAACATTTATGTTTATGAAATTGATCAATAGATACAACATAGGCGATATGCAGAACAAGGATACATTATTTTTTCCATGGGCGTAGCTTTAAATATAAAGCATGTATAAGAATATTTCAAGTGATGCACTCTGACTAACAATGAGTAATATCAAATTTATTATTGGTATGTTAATAAGGAATTGTAAATATACGATAAGAATATACATACCACATTGTCCACTCTTGTACATTCTGAATGCACCTAATTATGCACCCAAAAAGCACATTGCGCTAAAGGGATGTTTGTTTAGTGTATATAGATTAGGTGAACCGTCAATTGTGAGTTTCGATCCTGTAACCCGCCATTACTGCACCATAACAAATTAAATGTAATTCCATAGTGTTTTATATATCATCGGTTAAATTATCAAATAATGTCGATACTCTTTTATACCAGTTGTTCTACATTATTATAAGCATTATTGAACATTACTATATACAAATTATGATATCAAAGTAAAGAAAGAAATTCTAATAATCGTTCTTCAAAGTATATGCTAATGCAGGCCTCGACAGAGAAACCAACATTAAAGCATGTGCCACAGTAATGTCTTGTGTTTGATTGTCCTCTCCAGTAACTGAATTTACTCCATACAATATTGTGTTTCATTGATAATCACGAAATATGAAATATACCTTCAGAATGTACTTTCTATGTATATGTTATGTAACACACGATCTACTTCATCAAATAACTCGTAATTTCGTAATTCTAGTCTGACATGCGTTTTTTATGTGTAACTCTTGTAATATTATATATCGACATGCGTAAACGTGAGTTAGGGATTTGGTACTTAACTTTGGAACACGAACATGTTTACCAATTTGAGATGTGTGGACATTCTCTCAATCTAATGGGGTTGGAAGGATGGATCAAAGAAATATACAAATGACAGAAGAACTTTCAGAAGTGTAGAAAACATCAAAAATTTGTCAAATTCCCAGTATTATTTTATTATAGTAACCATAACCATGCAGCGCATTCTATTCTGGTATGTGAAATATAAACACAGACGATTGTGTGTGCAAGTGTCGGACCGACGATTTCTGTAAAGATAAAGCAAAGTACTGTATGTGTCAGATGATCAAAGAAGAGAGACACTCCAAACGTATGTCATTAACGTATAGGAAAAAACGTGTCTGTACAATGTATGCACTAATGATCATGTAACACATTATTCTCACAAATTTCTATATATGCAAATGGGAAAAATTCTGTGGTTGTATTTATATAGAGTTGTAAATACCTTTGTAAATTCCGTCTTAACCTATATAGTAGTAGATTCTAAATTAACCAGACTTCATAAATCGGTTAAGTTGAGTTCATGGAAAGATGTAGAAAACCATCATTCCTTACTTCATCACTTTCACAATAACAAAGAGTAACTCGTATATATTGGTTATTCGAAGTATATTTATTTTAGCAGCCTGGGTGCTTCAAACTGTTCGTTTACGCTCATAAATGTAAATGTACAAACGGAAAAGCACCGAAGCATTAAAATGCGCAATGTACCAGTCAGCTTCTCCTATAAATAAAGTTCCAGTCCATTGGTACGACTAATTGTATACTATATAATGAGCTGTTCTAAACAAATGTCACTTGAGAAATTCTGCTGATTAATACAAAGAATACATTGTAACATATGTCGTCCAAACTATTACATCATGCTAATACATGGTATATGAGGGTTGAATAACAAACACCGCAACATGAGTTGAAAGCTCACAACAATACAGACTAAGACAAATCCTACTTGAATAAGATTACGTGTAATTGCACGACGTAAGCACTTCACGCAGGTGTGCACATATATTTATCAACTATATATTAATGGTAAAATAGAAAAAAAACGCTCTCAATTGATATCCCAAATATATATCATAATTGACTGTGTGGAATTAAAAATATAATATATTTCACAAATATACAATATGATAATTTATATTGGTTTGGTATTTTTAATTTTAATAATGTTCGTGGCTGTGCATCACGGCTTTTTTAATCAAGACGACTGGACATAAATTTCAATTAGATTTTTGTAATAACTTCTCATTATGAAATAAACAAATTGAATACGTATCATCTAACTGCTTGAGCGTAACGTGAATTGAGCCTGGAAAAATATCCGTATGCAGAGTGTGTATTGTTGACAGAGGCGAAGCAGAAATCAACACTGCTATCTGAGGGTCGTCAACATAGTACATCGGCCGTGTACCCACACCGATCCCATTGTAGTAAACAAGCTACGGGCTACCGTCTGAATATGCACACACACAAAAACAGCACACTGGGGGCCACTCAACCCTAAATAAACGCGATTGAGCAACACATTTCTGAATAAATGAACAATTATATCTAACACACATAGATGTACAATACAATATTTACAAGCTGAATACAGTCAGAACCCGGATATTTGAAACATTCAGCTGGGATACTTTGGGGACAAGTTAGGAAATCCTACTCGGGATGAAGATTTTACATGTTTATCAACTTCCACTTTCTGGTAGCAAAAAGATATATTTACTCGTGTAGACAAAAAAATGCCATATTAAATATATGTAAATCGATGTGAATCGCTAACAAATATTCGCAATTTTTAGTGTTTTTTTTTGCTTCTTTCAAGAAGTGTTTTTAATTACTTTCTCTACATATCTTTATTAATGCAATGTTAATTGCCTTTTAAACTTGCGAATAAAAAATCTCCTGTTATATTATCGAGATCCATCGTTTAAAGTAACAAAAATTATATGTAAAATATTTTCTGGAGATAGAGTACTTCATTGCTGTCCGCCGGAATTTTTTGAAAAAATGTTTCCCGCTTCACAATATGCAGATTAAATGCAATTTGATCAGATTAGATTCAATGTAATTCAATGTAAAACGAAACAAATCGAGTTAAGTTACAACATACAAAGAAAGCATAATGAGTAGATGACTTGATGATTAAATTTACAGCGAAATTCAGGTACCAAGTACGCCATCAACGGCAAAAATATGACAATGGGATGCACTGATGCGCATGGCTATAATTGTTAGTAAAATATTGTTAAAGAAAAACACAAATTATAGAGTGACAAACAAGACAAAATCTGTATTATTGTATAATGATAACATACTTAGTACTATTATTTCAAAACTAGGGTGGTTGAAAGTGTTTTCTGTTTTGAAGGAAAAGTTTCATCTATACTGTCTCAAATAAATTAATTACGTATTTTTGATGAATTGAAATATGAGCTGACTGAATTGTGAGAATCTTATTAGTAATTTAAGCTTACGTCTTCGTGCTTTAATGCTGACTCCACGATAATTTCGTGAACAGGGATAGTATATTTAATTATTTTAGTAACTACTTGCCGTTGTGCATCGATATATATGATTTCAGCGTTTAACATACTGGGCAGCGCAGGGTCATTTACAAGGCAGGATGATGGAAACTAAAATTAAAGGGCGGTGGTCGTCGCTCAGTGCGTGTTCGGGTGTAATGTATTTTACACGCGTTGTATACGTCGCTATGAGTCCCATATCGAACAGGACGAGGCGCGACGACTGCCGCCCTTTAATGCATATTGAGTATTTATGCGCTATATTGGTGGCACAGTGGGCTTGAATATCGGTATCCCTGATATTACATTGCGCCAATTGTCGTAAGTTCACGTTGTCGATAGCGAAAAAGAGAGTTTGCATTTCAAAGTATGGTCCGCAGAAAATTGTTCAATCGTATCAATCATGTTTATCAAGATCATATAACACAAAACAGAACTCCGGAAGATGGGCATAAGTGATTATTTTTTTATGGCGTACTTTAATAATCTCACGTATGCAATGTGTAAAGTTTATATTGTTATGATAAATGCATATATTAGCTTAATACTACGAGATTTGTTTTACAATATTATGGTTACATGTGTGTAGATTGTTTATTATAATATTTTTATTTTGACATCTTCATACATTTGACTGTTATAACATGCCCACATTACTATGTACAAGTTTGCTTTTGCTAATGAACTTGTATTTTGTGACATTGACCTGTTATTCAATGTTGGAGTGAACGTATTGTTGCCATATAGATACTAAATTGAAGATGCGAATCAAGTTCATGTTCCGCAATCGTCCAATTAAAATAACGATCAATACAAATCAAATCAAATCAAAGTTTTGAAGTTTAGAAAATATTTACTAATATGTATAAGAATTATTACTTATTCAACATTCAACATACATATATTACGCCAGATTTATGCTACAGTACAATTTTAGTAATAATATCATGATTTATATTTCAGTCACTTTGACAGTGGTTGCCATGACATATACTGATAAAGGTTAATGACAAGACCAGATGGCGAGCTGGTCGAAATCAACCAAAAACATCTTATGACTCTGCAGGTTTTAAGATACAAGACAGTAGCTGTAATTCTAAACCAATGTTGTTTGCGATTTTAACTAAGGTAGTATCTTTGTGGAATGTTAGTGCGAGATTATTACCCCATCAATATTAGTTAGCGTTGACAATGTATAGAAATGTTTTCTCTAGACAGCTTGACGAGTAATTAATTGATTATGATGTGTAAAACTTTCATGTGATTGGTTGTTTGTTGGAAGGCAAGGCCTTGGAGTCTCTTATACTGATTGTAATTGGTTAAGGGGTGACAAGAAATAAAGATGGATTTAATGCTGTCTCGGGTGAAAACCAGGGACTTGGCAGAGAATCGTTTTGGGAACATGAACGAAGCTTGTGTGTGTCTTTTGTTAGCCTAGCGTGGAAACGACCGAATCCCGGTTACCTAAGTGAAAGGTTTTTAACCATCAAAAATACCTATCACAATAACATCAAAATATGTATTAATTATGTATTGCCAATTAAGTAAAATGACACTAGTACTGGAATATACTTGTACAATGTGTAGGGTAAAGAAAAACATGATTCATTTGTATGTACATAATAAATGAAGCTGATATAACAAAAAACGTTAATTTTTTTGTTATTTTTCAAAAATAACACTATATCATATACAAAATGCAATATAACTAGGTTATAGAGGGTAATAAAGTGATTTTAGTGATAATAAACACACACAAACGTGAATTACCAATAGTTTGTTGTTCACTGCTAGTGACCATATGGCTATATATGTATGTGACATTAGAGATTCTGATTACGCATGTATTTCTCAGTCACCGTAAGTGCGTGTTCACTACATGCTATTTGAATCTGTCTTTTGGGCAGCAGTGCGTTATAGCGTAATGAGAAATGCATCTGCTAACATTGGCCACGTGCATTTGCCGTGTTGTGAGTTTGAACCATGCTTGGTGAAATATGATGTAATATGTTTGTGTCTGCAGTTCATTTTACTTTCATCTATGGGCTTTTCTTGTTGTCTGAGGGCAACTGGATCGGTCGTTCTGACCATTATTTCATGGATTTATGCAATATAGTCTGCATGTTCTTTAACAACAAAGGATATGACTTTACCGATAAAAAATAAAGGACAGATATCCAACGTTAATGGCGCTAGAGCGTTGGCATGCTAAACTGAAGGTGCATCTAGAATATGCGAACGTGTACTACTATAATAAAACAGGCTTTCGAATAATGCTATATGCATTCATAGAAAGTTAATATGAACTAACATCACATGTCTAGACAACAAATGTTCAGCGACAACGGTGCAATTCATGACTGTCTTTGAGTTCATGAAGTTAATCTTTGGTGTGTGTTTTATCTGTTATTGGCGAGAATGAAGAGTCTGAATTGAAGTAGAACACGGTGGTCCCAGAAATAATTTATACATTTTTAAATCGGCCTAGTATTTCTACCCACAACTCTGCAGCTACTTTTTATTGACCATCAATGTATACATATTCGCGAAAGGTACTGACTGAATGTATCAACAAATCTCGTACGTTTAACTGTCGAATTTACTACTTCACTGTATACATTATATATCAAAACGGCGCAGATGCCGTTTTAGTCTTGAAGTGTGATTTTATATTTAAATTCGTGTTTTCATTTCTGTGACAGTCCCAACGTTTTTAAAAGCAATTCTATCAATTTTCTTATTTTATGAACGTTTTACTTTCCTAATAAACTATTTTAATGAATGTTACTGCCCTGCGTGACATCCGTTTATTATCGAATACGTTGACGGAAAATCGTGAATGTTGCCAAATAATGAGAGGTAGACAGCTGCAATTACACAACCGTATATTGGCGACAGCGGGTGGGTAACTTGAATACGTTGGAAACGTACCCGACCTGAGGTGGATTCGCAGTTGTGTTAAAAAAAGAAACCAATATTAACAGAATAAATAATACAATAGAACACTCTGTCCACTCTATTGATCATTCCATGTAATATTCCACTTAGGTCGACTGGTACAATTCACATCACTGTTCCCTATTGTTGTTATCCTAAATAAAACCTCTCCGGGAAAAATACATTTTTTTTTCAAATCCGTGCCGGATTCACTGGAGCTCGAAAACTAAACGTCTTGAGAACCACCACCAGCCAATCTCAAAGGATTTTCTAAAATATAATCAACATGTATTATAATGTAGCATACGAATGCGGATTTATACAATGCGGTTGAGTGGTCCCAAACAATAAAAATGTATATTGCAAATACTGGACGGATCTTGTGATCACGACATCACGTAATTTTGGGGCGTGTGTGTGACATCATGAATATGCATAAACTAGATTCCAAGCATTGGTAGGGGGAAACTTGTGTCCTTTTTAACCATCCTGTACATGCAACCGAATGTTCACAAAGAGTCAACATGTTTGATATTACACTGGGCATGAAATGTAACGGATTTAAAAGGTGATATGTACTTAACCATTTGCCACCACGCCGCCACAGTCTTCACGCTGCAGAATTACGTTACAAAATGTGTTCGTCCGATAATCATCGCCACATAATTCTGACCCACAGCCACGATATTTCCAACAAATTATCTTACTATGATAATATACGGTCTTAAAACTTAAATTTATTAAACTTTTAAAGGAAGCAGAGTTGCAATATTCAGAAAGTAAGACCCTAAACTCACACCTCAGAATCCTAAGCACTGTTATACGTGGGCACGCAGGAGAAAAATACGAGAATGCCGATTCAGAACGCCCTCTGATGGCTTGGTGGGACATGTCAGATACGGGCGATACTACCTGTCTCGACCATCTCCTCCTAAGTGTTTTATTTCCGGGAATCCGATATTCAACCCACATTACGACATATCTTCACAAAGTGGAATGGAAATGATTGTGTTTCCTAGCAACCATGACAACAAACATCCCTGTTGACTTGTGATACTGTCATGTCTAGTTACTACCATACTAATTACTAACTTACTACCGAGCGATGTATAATCACGCTTTTATTTTGTTTTCACATATTCTGGCCAACCACTGAACAAGAAAATAAACTGGCTGGTCGAAATTATTTCATACTGACCCGGTTTATGTGACCGTAGCGCAAAAGCAAAAATTAACATAACTACGTAATTTGTCCCAGTGGCACTCGTTATATAGAGTAAACCAATTGAATGCAATTTAGTCGTGGAAGTATGAGGCACACGGCAGCAACGTTAACATTACATTTTTTTTTATTCCACACAATGTTAGCATTGTGACGTGGCGTAACGGAGCGCGTCTTCTTACAGTTGCGAGACTCATTTGCAGTTGTAAGTTTGGAGCTGATGTTTCATGTTTATATGATCATATGTGTGCCTGTAATTGTTTCTGCATAATTAATCAATCAGTATTATGTAAACAAAAGTAATGATTATAAAAAATGTGTTAAATGTAGAATAAGTTAACCTATATTTTTTTCCAAAATTACTTTAATTTTACTGAAGATCACATTGAATTACTGAATTTTAACACAGAAACTGTGTAGTCTGGCACTGTAGTATAACGGAAAAAAAATGAATTTACCTAAAATCAATACAATTATGAATTCAGTGAAGTGAAATGAGGTATCTTGTTTCAGACATATCAAGTTTATACACCACTCCCTTCACCGACTTTACGGACAAACCAAAGTATTTTTCTCCTCGTCTAACCTTTTCGAAAAACTTGAGAAAAACTTTGAATCCATTTCCCAAACGTGCCCATTGCACCCATCTTGATCTCTTGCTCATAAGGCAACAAAAATCCATTATTTCTTATAATTTCAGAGAAAGAGTCCACAGAAGCTTTGGGTATTCGTTTTCTAATCGGATCATCGGCATTCATGTAATACAAACCAAACCTATAAGCATATCCAGCCGTCCACTCGAAGCTATCCGTTAAGGACCATGCCGTGTATCCACGCACATCTACTCCGTCTTTATGATGGGCTGTAAAATTGATAACATTATAAGTTGCTTATAAGGAACTGGTCGTGTCTGGCTTACTCGTGAAACCGTTGCTCCTAATTATATTTGTGTATACTGCAGCCGACGATTTAGGCGTTCTGGTGCGTTTAGGGTCGGTATAATCCACATGAATTAACCCAAACCTAAATTTATAGCCATCACTCCATTCGAAATTATCCATCAAGGACCAGCAAGTATATCCTCGTACATCGACACCGTCTTTCTTGATTGCTGTTGAGAAACGTATAACTAAAGTGTTGGCCGTGTAGGAGCACTAAACGAAAAAAACACGTATGATTTTGAAATTGAAAGCATCTAAATTAGTGCAATGCTTTGTGGCAATGAATTTGCGACAAGCGTGTTATAAAGCAAGTTCTATGATCGCGGCAATTGCCAATACTTTAGTTACGAGGTTAATTAAAAAATGTGCAGTGGTTAGTAGAATGACCTTATCTGTGAACGTGTGCATAAATGCCTGCAATGTTAACCAAGTGCCGCCTGAAAATGACAGAAACTATAAACAATGGTGATGATTAATTAGTTAATATCATTAACAAGCTATCTGAAAAATACAAGGAGCGTAGATGGATTAATTAGTTACAGATGTATGAAGGTAATATATATGAAACGCATTTAAATATGAAAATATAATTCATATTTTTATACATAATTTACTGCAGTAACTGGGAGGATATGAGAATAATAAAGAGCACAAATACCCTAAAACAAATAAATTGTGACATGTTTCTAAAACATGGATACACGAGGTTGTCCCTGAGATTTATTCATGTTTGCATAAAGGTTTTAATATGAACAGCCCTCAAATTGTTTCAGTTGTGCATGCTGGCACAGAGCGTGCCCTCGCATTGAATATTTGGATTTTATAACGTGTAGTTCGAAACCCCAATAATTTCGACATGAATTTATTTAGAGCGACCTTTGAAAGTCATACATACTAATACACATAATTTGAAAATCAAAATATGGTGTGCCATTTAGCACCGGGCATTTAGCTATAATCAAATGGTTCACAATTAGTTTACTGCAACCAAAGCATAATTGGTCAGATCGGATTGGACACAGTCATATTGAATTCATTTAATAGAAATTATTTTGGGATATCATATGTACACTAACCACTTTAAAGCGCGGCGGTCGTCGCGCAACGCGTGTTCGAATTTCATGTAAATAAACAAATTGAATGTATTTTACACTCTTTGTATACGTCGCTATGAGTCCCATATCGAACAGGGCGCGGCACGACGACTGCCGCCCTTTAAGAAGCAACCAGTGGTGCCATCAATTAATACAAGTATAGAAATAATAAATAACATATTATTTCCTATCGCTTAGCATTTTTTTTTCTTATCGGACAATACTTCAATAAATGCCTGGCCTCACTGGATGTCAATTGGTTGGTTAATGATTAGTTAATACATACCTTTTAACATTTCATTGACATGTGAGGTAATGTATTGTATTCTCCATGTGTCATTCAATAGTTGTTCCTTCCCATCACTAAACTCTGCTACACCGTTCTCAGTTATAATGATTGGTGGGTTATCATAATTCATCTTAATCCAATTCATAATCTTGCGAAACCCCCATGGAACTGGTCGCAGCCAAGGTACTCCGGTTTTCGGCCAGCTCTCGTTATACCACGCGACTTGGTCCTGGTCTTCTAAGAATCCGACCGGCAACGTTTCAGTTTCAGCATGACGAACTAGTTGTGTCGTGTAGTAATTCAGGCCAATGAAATCGCTCGTACCACGAATCAAGTTGATTTCTTCCTCAGTGAAGGATGGTAAACGCGAAGATGTAAGACCCTGTGCACGACTCTTCTTCAGAATTTGTTCTTTCATCACATCCGGGTAATCTCCAATGAAGATGGGATGAGCGAACCAACCGAGCATGAACTGGACATATCTATCAGCAGCTGCCCTGTCTTCGTCACTGTCAGATGCAGGTTCTCCCCAGAAACCAACCAGAGTGATGCCGATAGAACCTTTCTGGTCAGGTCTGTAAATAGTGTTGTAGCTGTGCCACGCTTTGGCATGTGCCTTCAGCATAGTGTGACCCACTCTGTAGATTGTTGTACCTTGGTGACGTAGACCAGGTGCATGTACGCCCATTTCATGGCCCATCCTAGCAGCGATGTATGGCTCATTCAAGGTAATCCACGTTTTGACTCTGTCTCCAAATTTTTCGAAGCAAAGTTCTGCATATAAATTGAAATACACAGCAAGTATGTCGTTGCTCCATCCGCCGATGTCTTGGAGAGACTGTGGAAGGTCCCAGTGATATAAAGTGACCATAGGTTGTATATTGGCAGCAATCAGCGCGTCAATTAAACGGTTGTAATAATCAATACCAGCATTGTTAATATTATCAACAGTTCCATCAGGAAGAATTCTGGGCCACGACAGTGAAAACCTATAATGAGTGACACCTAAGTCTTTTAGTATATCGATATCTTCAGCAATCTTGTGATAGCTATCGCAAGCTACATCGCCGTTGTGGTTCTTATAAATATGGTTAGGCTGATGAGTGAATGTGTCCCAGATGCTCAAACCTTTGCCGTCCTCGTTCCAGGCACCTTCTACTTGGTACGACGCAGTTGCTACTGCCCATGTAAAATTATCTGGGAAATGGCCATATAAAAGTTGGTCTCGTTCAGGATCGTTGAACTCGCTGTATACAAATTTATCATAGTTTAAAGTGTCAGCCATTGTCAACTTCAATCCAGACGTCAGAATCGCAATCGTAAAAAAGTGTAATGGTAGCCTGAAGGAATAATGAAATTGATACATTTAAATTAGTATCGTTCTGTTCAGTATTTAAATCATTATTACATAATATACTAGATTTTTTATAAAATCAAAATATTAAAAAAACACCTAAAATATAAATCTTCTATTACTGCCATAATTCTAGTATATAATCCCTGATTGTCCGACATAATCCACAGCTGCCTCTATATGGACACACATTGTGTATACTGAAAGACTGCATGTAATGATATCCTAAAGGCTAACAAAAGTTCGCGCACTGCGATCAAAGGTCAGAGGTTGACCAGACCTGTGTAGACTTTGATCTATGTATATCTATATGTCGCCATTGCGACAAGCACCTGTTGTGCCACTAAAAAACTTTGCCTACGAATGACCTACAGTGTCTGAACTAAGTATTCATGCATGTAGTTTCACTGACCAGATCATCATGATGAACTCTCGAGGGTAGTTTTAACCGGTGTCAATGGAATAACGGAACTTTAAAGCAGCAGCCCAAGCCTGATATTGTCTTGCAGATATATACTTAGCTTAATATCACGACATCGAAGAAATAGTTGTTCGCGGCCGACACTACCATCCGACCTGGTGACTGATCGTTCCTTCTGCTATTACTTTAATGCAAACCTCGCCAATGCAAAGTAAACACGCAATAATTGTATAGGGGTACTTACGCTCGAGTGTAACACGCAGTGGGCTGGACAGCAAATCACGCTTCTGCCAGCTGTACGGAATTGGTTTATGTATTTTGTGTCTGCGCATGCGCTGACTATTGTGTCGATTCAGTGAAATGGATAGGCTTTAAAATGGACAATATTATCTCAGTCCATACTATTCACCGACACACAGCTGCCAAATCTCGAAATTACATTCAGTGAAAATAATAACATGTTTTCATCAGACAAAAAATAAAAACAATTGTATTCACCGATATTATAGACAAACCGATATACTACACAAGTCCCTGAACATACCAAGGCGTTGATGGCGTTTTGGGCTCAATATAGCACTTGTTTAAGTATAATACGATATGTAACATTATAAAAATGTTACACTTTGCATTGATGGAATAATTATGTTAATTAGTATGATGGGCCACGTACTCGGATACAATATTATTGTCTTGTCTGTGAACATAATTTTAGATTGATATTGTTACTAATTCAATACATTAAACTCTTCAGAATTGTCATTCCCGCTAGCGTTACCACAAAGATGTTAATTCTCTTTCACTTGTGTCATATTATTAAATTAATTGTTTCATTGCATGTATAGTTTCAAGTGGGGAGTGTCATACACTGAATATTGAGGTGCGGCGTTAATTTGTTGTCACAGTGGTGCTTGCCAGTGGTTTTGTTGACGAATCTCTTGCGAGCAAATGCATTAGCTGACGACTAATTGCCCAATAAATATACGTTAATATAGTGATAAATCAATATTCAATAAATTATGGTTTAAAAAGTTAAGTACGTCTGAACTAACTGCTGCGTCGTTTTTAGATAACGAACACTGCACTGGGGCCTGCTGTCGTCATCACCAATATATTGCTTGCAGCGATCTTATGCGAGTGACGTCAAAGAACTGGGATTTGCCACGAGGTGGCGCAATTGATGTGATTTCCAAACTCGTTGTTCACAATCTCATCATTATAGTTTATGATAGTAATTCAATTTACAATTATTGAAAATGTAGAAACTTAGTGACGGTTTTAGGGATGACCGGACCATGCCATGGTTATTCGTGAATACATGGCTATAACGCAATTTAGTAATTACGTCATTGTAAAGGAACGCCTCTCTTAGCCACTGCATCCGTCCTGACACTAATCAATCACTGTAGAATACTTTATTTTTGCTTGCAATTAATGTTCACTAATTTAAATTAAAATTTAAAATCTGGCGAATATACCTTTTTTTCCTATATTTTACATTAAACTTGTCAAAAATCAGAGAAAATAAATTCCATACAAAACACCCAAAAAATCTTTTCAGCGAAAATTAATTCCAGCTAAAATAAAGTATTTTACAATACTTCGCTAGAACACTATAACTTTGATTACAGTTGTGTTCTCTCGTAAATATAATTGAAGCTGGTTAAAAGCGTTCCTAATTTATATGTAAATTAGAAAACGTAAATCTAAATCGTGATAAAATGGGTTGTAATTTTTATATAATTATGCCTGGGTAACCGTACTCCTTGACTAACATCAACAGAATGACATTACATACACTGGAAGAGCTAAGCTACATGCAAAGCAAGTAAATATTACATTGACTTTACAAAGAAATCAAATCCACCAATTCGACGAATGAAATGTGGTTTATATACGTTTGTCTCTAATAGCGCCCTCTTGATATACTACACATTTCCAATAAAAAAAAAAACAGTTTCGCTATGCTGCATACAAATGTAATCGCTTTACCATATTAAGGTACACTCATGTAACATCAAATAAATTAAGGTTTATCTTCACTCATATTATAATAAATTAACAGATAATATAATAGAAGACATATTAATTGTTCATAACGCATAATCACAACTGTTATATAACAGTGCAATGCACCAACAATTTAAATAGCAAAGATCGAATAAAATAATACAATACCTATCACATTATCAAGATTACAATGTATACAATATGACAAGATCTAAGATCTAAGAACATGCATCAATTAGAATAGAAAGGCTGCAATATGTGCGCATAATTTGACACAAATATTCAGCTGTGAAGCTATCGTGAATCGTATGTATATATAGCACGAACATATTCAGAGCAGTTTATACTAAAATTTAAAAAAAAAACTACATTGTGATTCAATCTGGTTTCGGATTCACAAATACAACATTCCAAAGATGGCGATGCATTAACTAAATAATTACTTAACAAATGTATTATTATTACATGTTTAAGCAGCCACACACATAACAAGTTGTCAATGAAGGGTTTCTCTTTTGCTTGTGTCATATTACTAAAGCCACCGTTCATTGTTGATTGTGTTTGTTATAGTATTGGGCTAATAAATGAACGCAAAGAGAGAATTACCCATAATCCACTGGCAACACATTTTCTTTTAGCTTGACGTCAGAAGACATACGTCACGGTGATTACCGTCAGAGAAGCATTCATCCCCACCTACGGCTCTAATTGATATACAACTCTCTCGGTTATCACTGGTATCTGAAGCAGATTGTTAAAAGTATACATAAACATTGGGAAGGGGTCGACATTTTACGCGACTCTTTACACAGCGAGAGGTCAGACACCGGGGTCAAATTCTACAATGTGCAAATATGTGGTCATGATGTCATTAATGATCGTGAAACCCGTATATATAATACACATTGTTGTTGACGCGTAACAAGTCTCTAGCCAAAAGTTCCAGTCAAAAGTACCCCCATTTCAATACGCACAGAGGGTAGAATTTACCTTTGAACCAAATCATCTTACAAAATACGACCACTTGAAATCGCGTTTAATTGAGAGACAACTAAATACTGTGGTATCTGTCCATTGCCGGGCAAATGTCAACTTGGCTACGAAAGGTAAACTAGTTTAAACAGGTAGGGCTAATAAAAATGAGGGCGAAGCTATATGAAGGTGAATGGATGATAGTCGATGACGTCATCATCTCGGCGTCACGTAAACCCATTATCTACGCATGCCAGGAGTAACAGGTAACGTACTGGTAAATAGGAGCAATAAGAATGTGTCCGATCGACGACATGATCTTTATAGAATCAACGGATTGTTCTTTTTTCAAATGCATATTTCATTAAAATATCATATTTGAATTTTCGTGACAACGAATGTTTCAGCTTTATTTTTGTCTTCTACTTTTTCAATAATTGAAGTTTAGTTGCGATAACATTTCTTGTGCATAAATTATTTTACATTTCTATATTTATATGGTCATCCACTATTCCTTCGGTGAAAATTACCATGTTTTGGCTTTTCGGGGAAAATATTTCAATATTCAACGTTTGTGAGCTCAAATAATCATCCATGTTTAATAAATTCGAAGCTAGGTTATTATTAGTAGTAGTAAGTAGTCAGTAGCAGTTATTGTTATTACTTACATTCGGCTGTTGTGTCTGGGAATCACACTCGGTTATTTTCTGTAGGCAAATGTCTCTAAAATGCAAATGTCTGTGTGATACTTTGTAGACTACAGACTCAGCATTGCGAAACATATAGCAGATATTTTCTTTTCCTTATTTAATCATTCTTTGTAAAACCATATTATTAGTATCTAGAAATACAAAACTACTAAGCAAATATGTGTAGCGACAAGATACGTATTTTAGGGACGACCGTGGTAATCTCGGCCCACAGTCAGTTGGCATTGGTGTCGCTGGGTGTATATGATAAAGGAAAGTTGTGCAACCAAATTTGCCGAGTTCGCAGTTTCTCGACAATAAAAAAATAACTAAGGCAAAAACTCACGGTTTTTCAGCATTTTTGTAATAAAGACATTATTCTCTATCAATAATAAGCCCAAAACAGGAACATTTCTACTAATTCTTGTGTGTTTTCGACGTTTTACGAAAAACCTGCGATTAGGCTGCGAAAGTAGAACATTCCGAAGGGGGTGAAACGGAAGAGCCAAACATAACGCGTAAAAATAGAACGCGTATTTTGACCTCTATTTGGCCAACCAGTGGCTGGACACGATACGTTTGCAGTCGTTGCCAAAGACCCCCTCCGGAATGTTCTACTTTCGCAGAAACGTCGAAAAAACACAAGAATTAGTAGAAATGTCCCTATTTTGGGAGGTATATTGATAGAGAATAATGTGTGACCGTGAGTTTTTGTCTTAGTTATTTTTTTATTGTCGAAAAACTGCGAACTGGGCAAATTTGGTTGCACAACTTCCCTCTATCAGATATCCTCGGCCATCACTACGATCGATATCGATGGAATGGATTGAACGCGCAAAACAAAGACTAAATTGGAAACATTGTTGCTACTTTGGTTACATTGATAGAAGTCTATCGTAAAAACCTCATTTTAAATCATGAGGCCAATTTTTAAGGGTCGCCAACCTCCGCTTATGAGTCGAGTATGGTGTTTATGTTTGTGCATGTGTAAGCACCACGTGACAACCAACTAGACTATTCTAGGTATCAGGTATACAGGACTTGTTTGAACCAGTGCTGTTATTTATAGCCTCGAATCGAGAAACCACAAATAGGGAAGCCCAAACCCAGCGACTTTATTTACGTCATGCAGTCACATGACGTTCCGTCTCATTTTTGACCTCAATGCATAGATAATGATGTGTTGATACCACGTAGCAGGCGCAGATACTACTGCTATTTGGGGATCAGGCCTGGTTTATCTCGCATTCCAGCATATGGTTTATTCCATAGAAATGTGGCAACTAATTTAATTAAAAAGCTGAATATATTAGAGTGATATTTCACTGACAGTAAACGTGTATTTGGTGTCGTCATTATGCTTAGGCCAGTTGGCACGTAAAGCTGTCATGTGACGTCACGAGGTATACATGTAAACAGAAATCCTCTTTAGACTGGTTATCGCAACGACAGTACGAATGTGTCAGCGACAGACTTGTCCACAATGGGTCGTCGCCAGCTCTTGGTGAACTGTGCCCGGCGTTTGCTGTTCACTGGCACCGAGAGCGGTAGTGTTACTTGTTGTGGGTTCATGTCTGGTTTGCTTTCCCGTGTGTCATAATGAAGAAGAATCCAAACGTAACCGATGTATGTGCTGACTGGCATTGTTTGGACGGCAGTGAATTGGAAGCTAGCCCTCGCACGTCCGAAAATAACCAGGATGAAACCCCAGTGTTGTCGAGAAGACCATCTGGTAGTTGCTTAAAAAGTCCGGGAAAGACACCACCAGGAACGCCAACGGAAAAAAAGCAAGTGCGTTTTGCTGACGAAGCTGATGAAGCTGATGACCTGGCAGAAAGCGTACGTGTCGCCTTTGATGACTTGGGGGAGGCGAGCTCCCCGACATGTCCCGTTTCATCAAACAACACGTGCCTTCGACATAACAACATGGATACGCCACTACAAGACGAATACAGATACCTAGCAGCGTGTTTCCCGCAACCTGGTGCTCTCGCCGGATTTCTACAGCGAGTAAACGATCAGAAAGTATGCTTGGAGAGTCTAGTTGTCGCCGAAGACATGACGATATTGGGGACCATACGAGTCGCCAACACTGCCTACGTTAAACACGTTAACGTGCGTTTCACCACTGATAACTGGAAAAAATATTACGATATTCCGACCAATTATGTTCAGAACTCATGTGATGGGGCTACCGACCAGTTCTCGTTCAGTTTATCGCTACCAAATAATTTCACCGTTGGCACGCGCTTGGAATTCGCTGTATTTTACCGGCTGAATGGTCAAGAATATTGGGACAACAACAACCAGTCGAATTATATCGTGGCTTGCTACGCGAAAACTGCTTGTCCCAACGATTACCGTGACAGATGGTGGCATCACTTTGTGTAAAATGTCACTATGTTTCCGGATACTAGGCGTAACCCCTACGATACTCATTGCAACTTGAATTCAGATAAAACTATTCAATAACGTTTTGTAGTCCAGTACAACTGCTAGCACGAACTCATCACCCACTTGACTTGGTAACTGGTACGGAATTGTCTCCGTCGTCTATGTACACAAATGTAATAACTAATCGGATTAATAACTAGCAAGCAATTTTCGTGATTATGCTTTTATTCAGAGTAAGTTGTTAGTATAGTGTTGTTATGAGAGTAGTTATGCAGCTGATTCTTATAGTCCAGTCAAAATGCATTTAAACATGGCACTTATTACAAAAGGAAGTATGTTCATTGTAACAAGTCAAAAATCAGCAACATATCATAGATATAACAAAATCGATGTAAGGGAAAGCTGTTAAAAAAACAAAAACATGTTATTTCTCAGTATTTGCTTTCAAAAGAGCAGTTTTTTTTTCTCTAGTCATTGGTTATGTAATTGCCATTCAACTTCTCTAATTTTAGAAATGAAAGTACAGGTGACGGCTTGTGGCATTACTATCTGACCAACCGTTGACGAGATCTGTTACCATGAACAGATTTTATGCAATTAGTGCCAGGTTATGCACGATTTGTCGATAAATTGACTGGACTAGTAAACTGACATTTAGTGTCAATGTGCGATGCTTTCCATCAAGGTGTACTTGCATTTCAAAAACAGTTAATACAAATGTTTAAGCGAGGTTTGTCCCATAAAACGACCAGCTGTGATTTGGTGCTGACCGACAATGGGATGACATCAGATTAACACGGATAGCTCTGCTCAGTCCTGTTCTGTGCAACCACTTACATGAGACAACCTCATGCCATGGTTTCGACAACTGTAATTTTAAATTAATGAATTAGAGTTGTTAAATTTATGTTTTATGGAGGGGAACGTATAACAGATTGACGCATATTGTGAGCACTGAGAAACTGATCATAAAATTGTGTTTTGAATGATCATTTGTATTTTGATTTTGTGTACATTACTCTGGGTTTCACGAAGGCGTGAATGTGTTTAAGGACATTTATAAACATTTGTTCCGAAATATCCTCTCGCTTCGTTTAAATTGGAAGAAGGTTTTTTTCATTGGATGTAGAAATAATTCGGTAATTCATTACCGTGTATAATTGTGAGATTTCGTCAAATTTACTGCCATGAACGCAAAAGTAGAATTCATAAAATTTGTTTAAAACGCGTGAAATCAGTGATTTGTTCGTTGAGACAAATTTTAAAGAATTCGAGTACAAGTCGTACCATTATCGTATGGCACAGAACGTTAAACTGCGAAAGCAAACCAGTTTCAAAGGAGAGGTTAAAGGTTAACTAACCACAGTGGAGTTCTATACGAACGGTATTCATCCGCTAAGGTTTGTGATTGTTCATTTGGAATATATAAACATTTATAAAAAAAAAGCTTATAAACAAATTCACGCTTTAAAGAAAACCCGGTGTACATTGTTGGTTTTCGTAGTGAGATGTATCATTCTCACAAATTTTCCTTACCTACGTATTTTTAATTTTTTTGGTATTTTTTGTGCCTTTTTGTGGTAATCATGTCAAGGTTCAACATGCTAGACATATTGCGTTCCACCACACAGCTCCCAGCTATATGGATAAAATTATGCAAAAATATATATATTTTTTCATCTACAACAAATGACTGAAGTGGAATTTGAGAATATTTTCAAGTGAATGTAACAATAAGCTTTGCGCGTTCGTATAGATTAAGTACAAATCGTTAAAAATGACTATGTGAATGTGGGACTCATAATCCTATTGCTAACACTGCTGGCGAATAACCGTTTATTTACAAAGTTGACTATTGCTCACGTTTCAACGTGCCCAAAGTTGCCTGATAGTTTCCGCTAGCCTCGATATAAGGGCACCCAACTTGAATGATTCAGTTCCCGCATATATATATATATATATATATATTATAGGATATTTCTAATCATTTGTAAGGTGTATTTGTTATAGTCATGTTAATATTTCGGCAACATGCCTTAGACCAGAACATGGAATGTTTCAAACCCATATAGAGTATAAACTACATGACGATATATACATTTTTTATGAATTATTTACATTTATATTACTAACTCAGTTAAAATGTAATACATCTGAAGGCATATTTTCATATGTCGACAATCTGAAATAATTTTAAAACTATATTTCATCATATATTGTAATTTTTTAAACATCTCGGTACTAAATTTACAATATTACATCATCCGTCACTGAGTGTTGATTGCTACCATGTCCATATATGTCTCGGTCGTGTCCAAATATGGAAGTGACCTGACCTTATTTGGACAGCAGCATGTACGATATTGAATGAGTACGAGAAACTGACACATAGTTGTGCAAATGTATGTTTTGATAATACAATATGTTGTAGAAAATTGTAATAAACACTTCATGAAATCATTTGGCAATAATTTCTGACGTAATATTAACCTTTTATAAATGTGATTGATACGAGCATGTAGCATGCGTGTTGTGGAATTCGTTCAACCTATTAATCGAAGCAGAACACTTGCTACCAAATTCTCGAATGAACGATGCAGAGTTCGTCCGGATATACTGACAAACGAGTGAACAATTGTAATTTTCTAGATGGCGCCCTTCATAATGCAAATACAGTTACACACCTGACACATGTACACTCAGAATGTGGTACGTGAACCTCAGATGAAATCGGAAACTGTTCTAAAGATGCATTATTTATTCAATAACCGTGTAGTCGACCTCGAACGATCGAGCGAATTTGGTGACGTACGTGGGGATAGTCCATGTAGTCTCAGTGAAATGATATGCGAAATATATGCGAGTGAAGAAGCTGGAAATCAAATTAGAAAAGTTAGCTTTTGTTTTCTCAACTTCCTCAATTGCCAATGGTACAGTATTTCCCGAAGTTAGGCTGCTTTCAGAAACTTATGTGAAGGGATCGGTGGATTTTTGGAGGTGCATTCGAAAAACAATTCGTACTGGCATGAGGGAATCACAAAGTAGGGGTATACAAAAATATTAAATATACATGTACATTACAATGAGCTTTAATTAGTTTTATTATGATTAATCTCTTGTCATTGCAAAAATAAAAGCTTTTGAATCATGCATTACATGTTTGCCTTAGAATACATATTTAAAATATTATATCATATCAGTGTGTTGTTATATGCAAATAATCTTATTCTGACTGTCAAAATATAAACTTGTATATTTCGTGAGATTATGCAGAATAAACACTAACGTTGTCAAGCCATGAGGGCAGCAACATTTTCTAGCTCATTCACACTCCTGTATTAGGTCACTCAACGGGTGTTCCATAACACACTGCACCCCGTTAGAGTATACCCATACATGTAAAAGCGAAAAGACATGCCAAAGACGCGCATAAACTCTATGAATGAACACTCATACTAAATATTCCAATTTATGTTATATTTCTTAATATAACATTTCATGAAGCAACAGCGTACACTACAAATTTTCATTTTCCTGTAGTATTTTCTAGGTTTAACAAACAATACTACAATATATAATCAAATAGTAGTTTCTTGTTTCAACAATCTCTACTACACTACCAAATCAAAATAGTCTTATCTAGTTTAACAAACTCTACTACACTATCTAATCAAAATAGTATTTTCTAGATTCAATAAACTCTACTACACTATCTAATCAAAATAATATTTTCCAGTTTAACAAACTATACTAAACTACCTATTCAAAATAATATTTTCTAGGTTCAACAAACTCTACTACACTATCTAATCAAAATAGAATTTTCTAGATTCAACAAACTCTACTACACTATCTAATCAAAATAGTATTTTCCAGTTTAACAAACTATACTAAACTACCTATTGAAAATAGTATTTTCTAGGTTCAACAAACTCTACTACACTATCTAATCAAAATAGTATTTTCTAGTTTAACAAACTATACTAAACCACCTATTCAAAATAGT